ATTTGGAAAGGTTCTTGATAAATTGATAACTAATAGGATGATGCATTATATTTTTAAATATAATCCTTTCCATGATAGTCAATATGGTTTTGTTCCTGGTCGAAGTACCGATGATGCTCTTTTTCGAGTTATCTCATATATTAGAGAACATAGGGTTAACCAGCACGTTCTTCTTGTCTCTTTTGACATCGCTTCTGCATTTGATAACGTGGATTGGGTCTCTTTATTGGGGACTCTTCAAGATTTGTATATACCCAGAAATATTTTTTATTTGATTTTGGATTATTTTAAGAGTAGAAAGTGTTTTAAGGAAAGTAAATATGGGCAATTGGAACGTGATTATGAATAAATTGCTTCAATTTTCTGGCAATGTGGTTGCTTATGCTGATGACATTGTTTGGGGGACTCACTTGAAAAACTGGAAAAATTGTTTGATGAGACCTGTGCAATTTTTGATAATTGGAGTAATGGGGAAAAATTGAATTTTAATATGGATAAGACACAAGCTATGTTTTTCCCGAGGGGAGGACGTGTGGTGAGACCTCCTCGAATTCGGTATCATAATAGGAGAATTAGATTTACAGAAAATATGAAATATTTAGGTGTTGTGTTGGACTGTAAGCTCACTTTTGTTGAACACTTTAAGAACGTGCAGCGAAGAACAGATCAGCTTTTACTTGCCTACAGAAGGAACTTTGCGGGCGATATTTTTGCTAAGAGATCTGGTATACTATTGGTTCTATATAAAGCCGTTGTATTACCTATTGTGATGTATGGAATTGGCGCCTGGGGTTCCAGAGCGGGGGAGCTGGTGAGGCTCCGGATGAAGTTGGATTCTATACAGAGAGCTTGGGGTCTTGCAATTACTCGCTGTTTTAGGACAGTCCCCACGGAGGTGGTTTGTGTATTGGCCAGACTGCCTCCCCTCTCAGTTTATTACGAATTTTTATTACAAGAAATATCTTTTACGTTCTGGAAATATTGATATGATTTGTTTTGATTCTAATATTATTACTAAATATGTTTTTGAAAAATTTAATGTACATTTATTACACCCTGTAAATAGAATCAGTTATGGGTTTGATAGAGAAATTCCAAAAATTGGAATATATGATATTTATACGGATGGTTCGGGGTTAGGAGGGTGTACTGGAGCTGCTTTTGTTGTATATTTCTATGATGTTGAAATTGATTATGGTTTATATAGATTGAATTCTTATAATTCAGTATTTCAAGCGGAATGTATTGCTGTTTTGAAGGCCTTGAAATGGATTAAAATGAATATTAAAACATGTGTTACTATAAATTTGTATACTGATTGTCTTTCTTTGCTCCAGTCGCTCTCTTGCCCCGATAATGTTAACTGTATTATTATGGATATTAAATTTCTGTTGCAATCTATCAGTTCTACGATTTCTTTTCATTGGATTAAAGCCCATGTGGGGTTTTTTGGTAATGAGAGGGCTGACAGTCTGGCCAAGGAGGCATGTATTTCAACTAATGCACCCATTGTGGAAATTTCTGGTTCTAGACAAATTGCCATTACGAGTATGAAGAAATATTATATAAATATATGGAAAGATGTGTGGAAAAGTTCAACAAGGAAAAAATAATTTGTTGATTAATATTGAAATTACAGATAAAGTTTTAATCTATGATGACATTGATATGAATCAGATTATCACCGGACATGGTAGTAGGTTTCCTCATTATTTAAAAAGATTTCATGTACAAGATAATGATCTATGTCCAAATTGTAATGTTTTGGGTGATGCCAAACACTTCGTGGTGGACTGCCAATTGACTGATTTTATTAGACGAAGTTTTTTTGTGATATACATTTTGATTTATTGAATTTTGATTTTAAACATTTGAAATTATATGCAAGAGAATTGATGGCCTTTATTAATGGCAATAGACATGCGATTGGGGTTTTTAACTAAGTTCATTTTATTTTCAATGTGTGTTTATTTTAGGATGTCTTTTTCGTCGTGTTTTGATGATATGTGTGACTGTATGTCATATTTTCGTTGTGTGTTTTATGTGTGTTTTCCTTCCTTATTTTATGCTATCATTTTTACTAATACAGTTTTCTTGATTTAGTTATTTTTGGTTTTCTTCTTTCCTGTTGTGTCGTTAATCCAGCCATTTAAAAAAAATAATAAATAAAAATAAATAAAATATATAGTCGTATGGCAACCTTGCTGGATGTATAATTATTATTTTCTTTAGTTGATTATACTAACATTTTTAGTTACTCGGAATGTGGTGTGAATGGGACGCCCCCTTTTCGGACCATAAGATCACTTTGTGATCAGGCGGGTTGGGGCGTTCTAGAAAAAAACAAAAAACAAAAACATAAAACACATACACATATAAAAAATAGGTCAGAGACGTTTCCGGTAAATAATAAAGGAAATACTGCTAGTGTAACATTAAGAGGAATTACATTTTTGGCACGACAACAGCCTCGGTGATGTTCAGCTTTCCTTTCGCCGGAGCGCTGATCATTGGATAAGTAATGTGAATCGGTTCCGGAGCGGATCGGCCATCTCTAGCCGAAAGTCCTTGAGGCCAGAAAATGCTTCTTATGTTATATGAAAACAGTCGTGAAAATATAGTAGCCATAGGATGTACAGGACAAGTAAAAATTAAATTAGCGTTTAAAATATGGAGCCGTAAGAAATAAGGAAATACCTTAAATTTATTCGTTATTTTATTTAATACTAGCCGCTATGCGGCCAGCCTTCGTCTGGCTTTTAAACGTACCGGAAAAATGCCTAAAAGACACACTGGGACCGAATTACAATGAACTAAGCAGTATCCCTTAATACAAATATTAATTATCCTAATAAATAAATTAACCAACTTCCCTTTGCAAAATCTTAAGAACTGAAATGGTATAAAGGAAGTTAAGAACTTTGTTTCCTAAAAAAAATCACTCAAAACTTTTCAATATCTTAAAAACAGTGAAACGAGCACAAATAACATAAAGAATAAAAAAAAATAAATAAAATAAATAAATAAATTAAAAAAAAAAAAAAAACTGAAATGTTTCAGATTTTAAATTATGTCCAAAGGGGCGTTTTTTAACATTTTGTGTGTTACCTTTCTTTATTAATACGACTTTCTTTATTAAATATCATGTTCCTCGCACTTAAACCATAAGATCCAGTACAACAGCAATATCGCAAAATAGTTTTAAAACGAGCATATCTTTAGAATTTCCGATACAGAGACTCACGCGCTGGAGATAAAAATGTTTTTTCTGCACAACGTTGCCATTGCTCGCTTTGAAATCCTTGAGTTTGTTAATCAAAAATTCGTCAAAGTTTTAAAAAATAGGAAATCGATCATAAAACAAATTTCAAATTTCAAATTTGGGTCTTCCACATGCTCATATTCGTTGGAGGATTACGTTATTCAAAATTCGATGACTCTATGTACCGTTGTTTTATCACAATACGAGAAATATACATACATTTATGCAGATTTTTCATTATTTAATTTCTTCAAATATAATGCAGGACTCTAACATTTTGTGGCAACAGTTTGAAAAGTGAACCGACATTTATGAGTCCGACGCAAAATGCCAAAACGAAACTAATAGTCCTTCGGGATTCAAATCCCTTTGGACTAAAAAAAAAAAAAAAAAAATCTGAAAAGTATAATTAATGACTATTTTATGTTATATTTTCAAGAGAAAAAAATTACAATGAAATAAGCTATATCACTTACTCCAAATATTAATTATCTAATAAAAAAATTAACCAACATTCCATTGAAGAAAAAAAACTATGCAAAACTTTTCAATATCTTACAAACAGTGAAATAAGCAAAATATAACATGAAAGAAAAACAAAAAATTCCGCGCAGAATTTTACTCTGCAGAATAACTTTATCAAAAAAAATCATTATATATATAAAAATGACAATGAAATATGCAAATCTCTTAAAAACACTGACATAAGAAATACGATGAAAAATTGTTGCCAAACCCATAATTCTAAAAGAATGAAACTATTCAAAAGGATGCGATTTCATCAGAAATCTATCAACAACAATAAGAAAGGAAAAATATTTCCAAAATCACATTTTTAAAGATGTGAGAAGTGTACTCGGAAGCTTCATTTAAAAAATTTTTTAAAATGCAAAATATTAGCATTTTTCCAAAATTCTTTTTGCGAAAGCAGTCGCAATTGCGACTGATTTTAACGAAAAATGATGAAAGATTAACGAAAAGGATGAAAGATTAACGTGTCCAAAAATCAAAGAAAAATAAACTGTACATATTTTTAAATAAATTTTTTAGAAAAAATCCTGTTGAAAAGGTGTTAAGCTCACTTTGTTAAATAAATTCGTATTTGTCGATTTATTGAAACACGAAATTTATTTTAAGTTTGTAAAATAGCTAAGCGCCTACCTTTCATTACGATGTGAAAATGGTGTAGAGTAAAATATCGCTTTCCTATAGCCCATGATGTCTCAAAATGACGCGATTCCGTTACAAAACATAAAATAAAAAAATTTCGAATTCAAATTTCGGAAACATCGCTTCGCGGTGCACTGGCTCTTGTCTAGATGCACCTATGTACTACATTTCGTAGCCGTGGGTCTATTAGCTTGCTCGCAGCGCGAACGAAAGACACACACACAGACAGACTCTTTCTTTTATTGCATGTAGAGATCTGTGATAATTTGGAATAATTTATTTTTTGAATTTTAAAGTTTTTCCCCTCTTAAATGTTTTTCTGCGCATGCACATTTTTATTAATTTCTGCTTGTGTAAGAAATAAAATAGTTAATTAGATTTTGATGCTTACAGTTTGATGAAAATGTTACATATTATGTAGAATTTCTAGAGTAAATACGATTATACCTGGTCTCATTTCAGTTTCTTATAGATTTTAAGGTTTAGTGACAGCAAATTCCATGAAATGTCTTTAGTTTATGTTGTTTAGGTATATTTACAATTACATTGTGTTTTCCTTTATTTATAGTTGAAGATCATGGGCTAGAGAAATCCGTTTCGCACTTCTGGCGTGAACGTATGTGTACAGATGTTGAATTTGTTGTTGAAAAGGATGGCAGATCTACAACATTTGTAGCTCACAAGACCGTACTGTCCCTTTGGAGTCCAAAATTTGAAAAGATGTTCTACAACCCAGAACAAATCAGTCTGAATGTCGTCACTGTAAAGGAATGCGATCCATCAGCTTTTGAGGCAATGCTAAAGTAAATACTTTTATAAATAATTATTATGTAACAAAAAATTAGACACTCAAGCTGTACACTGTATCAAAATCTTAACATTTTGCAAGGTTTCCAAATAAGTCTTATTTTTTTAAACTCATATCTATAAAATTGCGTCTTTTTATCGTTGAGATGATTTCCAACCAATGCAACAGAAAGCCAACAGATTAAGGGAAAAGTCTGATAGTATGCTTCTTCAAGTAGAAAATTTGCTTTGCTTAGCTAGCGTGCCTTAAGTATTGGATAGCAAATTTTCGCATAACATTATTTTAAAAGACGATCAAAAATAAGGTAGAAATGCATGATACAGTATTATAATTTTGTAAAACTTGCTAAAAATTGAAACATGTTAAAAAAAAACTGATGACGCAACTGATGACGAATTTTATTATGCTGAAATAGAAGCAAATTCAGTAAGAAATTTTTATATATTTCAGATGTACTCTATGAGCCTACTTTTGCTGATACCATGATAACAGTGCGACACATTATTTCATACAAAACGCGTTTTTTTATTTAGCTTTACGTAGCTCTAGACGAGGGAATATCATCCTTTTTTTTGCTCCATGCACCCCTTTCACCACTGCTGAAGATCATTTCTAAGTGTAGAAAATGTTGAAAAATACCAAAATTTGAATAAAAGTAGTCTTGTATATTAATAAACTAAGTGCTTAACAGATGAATAAAAGGCTGACCGCATTTCCCTCGAAGCTAGCTAATTACCCCTGGTGAGAACACTTGCTCTAGTCTATGTTCTAGTGTATAATTTCTCTTTAAACTTTATGCGACTACCCAACCCAATATAGATTTTAAACTCAAATATCTATATTTAAATTCCAATTGTATTTGGAAAGCAAACCTAACGTAAAATGCCTGAATTTTTTTATAAAAGGAACAAGAATGATTCTTTGAACTAAATGATAATTTCAAAATGTTAAATAAGGAATTTTTCTTTTACAGCTTTATGTATGGAAGCAAACCAGAAAAAGGAGATTTTAAATTCGCCATTGAAGTCTTCAAATTAGCTGGTCGATATCAAATAGATGGTTTAAAGTCTAAGTACAGCAAAATTATTAGTTCTTCATGTCCTTCTATGGAAAACGTATTTGATCTCTTGGAAGCGGCCAAATATTTGCAAGCTGATGGCCAAATGTTTGCAAACTCCTTGGAAAGTAGATGTAGGAAATTGATGGAGTCAGAAACTAATAAAATTCTAAAACTTGTTGATCCTTGTCGCATTCCCTCTTTTGTAGTATCCATTCTCTTGGATCTACCACGCTTGAATTTACCATCAGAACTTGATCTATTAGAATGGGTTTTTGTTTGGGCCAAGAACTTATACGTTACAACAGCAAGTTATTGCAGCATAAGGGAAGTCCTGGAAGAATTTTTGCCTCAATTAAACCTTATTCATCTTGATAGCGAATCTTTTGCAAAACTTGTAAAAAAACATAAAGATATTTTTACTGATTCAGAATGCTTGAGCATTTTCATGAATATCGCCATTCCTGGATCTTGGCCTCTTCCATCATGGTGTGATGCTAACAGACAGCGGCGGGAGATTGTTCAGAAATGAAAAGTAAATCAAACATCCGCATTACACATTTAAGTTTTATAACAATGTAATAAATCTTTAACAATTAGCATTGGATTTTATCTTATTCTATTTTGTATTTTGTGCACAATTTCTAAAATATTAAAAAAAATTGAAATTTTAAATCATTTGTATTTTAACCTGAATCTTTATGCTTCTTTGGATAAATTTCTTAAATTCCAGATTTTCTTTCGATAAAAATAGTATTGGTTAAATTTCTTGAATTGTGTTACTTGTTCACTTTATTCTAATGTAATTCACATCTTGTGGCTGCAAGTTTGAGCAAATATAAGCTACACGGACTTTTTTATTAAATTGAATGGAGTTAAGAGAATAATCAATAATTATGCAAAAGAGATATCAATAAAAAATTAATATAATTTTATTTGGGTTAGATTAGTTTATTCAAATATAGCATTGCCTTGTTATCTCTATAAAGAAAAGGATTCCTTTAGGGACGGCTCTGTAAGGGAAGCAGGGTTCGTAGCCGTGCTTATAAGTCCTTATATTTGAAAATAAAATATAAAGGCTCTTATAGGTGCTTACTTTTTCTTTAAAGCCCTTATTTTTTTTTATTTTTTAGTGCTTATTTTTTGCTTTTAGTGCTTTTTTTAATGAACGCGCATTTTCCCTCTCGTATCAAAGCCGAAACTAAATAAACAACTTTTCTTCCTTATATGGAACGTCAGATTGTGAATCATACTCCCGGAAATAGCTTTCCCCCCTTCCTCTGCATTAACGTAACCTATGGTGCGCGCGAGAGTACAGACAGGTGCACGTCGTTCTATTGGCCAAAGAATTGCGAAAACCGTAGAAAATTCCGGTAATTGGGTATTCCTTTTCCGCCCACCCAAATACTACACACGTTTGAATTTCTATCAAGATTTTAATAATTTGCATTATCGTTCCGCGTGGTCAGTTCATATTCGTGTTTATTATGATCGTTATGCTTATATATGAGCATATGTATGAATATTTATAATAATATAGTTCCAGTAGCTGCTGAAGTGTAGATAAACTTCCAAAAATGGGTGTATTTTTACACAGATTGGCTTTTTAAGGAATAATATTCGGAATGGCTTGAATAAAAGGAAAGTAATCGAATAGTCAGAATATCCCCTCCCCAATACATTATACAGTACGGAGGTTGGGAGGTTCTCCCCTTTCTCCGCAAAATCTCTAATATTGAAGCAGCGGACTTTTTTTTTTTTTTTTTTTTTTGGTCACTGTCCAATCTGGATTGAATAGGACTAAAAGTTTTGCGGTCTACCCAACCCAAGCGAAGAATGAAGCGGAAATTTAACGCAATCTGTTTAAAATTAGAATCAAAAACACCCCAGATTAGTAAGTCTCTTTCTTTTCCTTTATTTAGTTCTTTATTCTCCGAATACCGGCAGCTGTTGATTCCGATTGCGTAATATCACATATGGAATAATTACGCCGCACGTATTGCGCAATAATGTTTGCGATATTTTGCAGAGATAATTAATTTTGATGTTCAGTCTGAGATTTATTTATGAACACTTAAAAGAGTTTTACTGTGCTTTCTAAGCAGAATATTTCTCATTTCCGTTGGTCTATTTTTATATGATGCACATATCGAAATGTCAAAATCATTTATTTAGCCGAGAAATCTAAAGAACGGCTACAATCTCCCCCCCTCCTCTTTTTCCAGTTACGCTCGACTATACGGAATATTCGGCAATTTCCGAGTATGCGGGTTAGTTAAGCTTTAACTGTTTAAGGATGACTGCATGAAGCAATTTCCTGTCGCCTGATTTCAGAAATGTTCCTCTTTTTTACTTAAATTACTTTGAAACTGTTATGCAATGAAAATTTAGAAAATGTTCAGAATTTTGATTTAAATTATTTAAATATTAACATGAGTGGGAAAATAAATTGTATTTATTATTAGGTGCCAAGCGAATACAATTAATATGGCTTATTATTATTTATTTTCTATATTTTGAACTGAAATTTCATCATTAAATCTTGTAATATAGTTTAGTTCTGCATAGTTTTTTTTTCTCTCATTGTAAACTAATTCTGTAAATTGAACTGTCATTTAAAATTAAAAAAAAAAAAAAAAAAAAAAAAGTTGTTTTCCATGGTTGAGGTAATGCTCATTCTCTTGATAAATATTGCATTGCTCATATTTTAAATTGCAAGTCTAATTTTTCTTTTAAGGTTATGCAGTTGTGTATAATGTAATTAGACAGGTGCTTATTTTTTTCTTAAAATGTGCTTGAAAAGTGCTTATAGGTGCTTATTTTTTTAACTAAAATGTGGCTATGAACCCTGGGGAAGCCGGTTCATATTCACATACCATATAGATAAAACCGCGGAAATTAACTATGCAGTCAGCTCGTTCTCTTGGGTTTCAACTTGGGGGATTTCACAATGATCAGCATCTTAAATACTTGGCCATTTGTGGCGCCTACAGTTTGATTTGTTAAGCACTTCCTGTAATTTGCTATTTCATATTGAGAGGAAAATGAAATAAAAAATTATATGTGATTGATTGATGAATTTCTATTCTAATTTTCAATATCATAATATATTTAAATGTAGTCGATTTGTCCGCTATTTAATTTTTTATTATATAAAAAAGAAAACGATTATCATTCAGAGTACTTTGTAAACTAATAATACGTTTAAAAAGTATTAATTTGTTTTCCCAAGATCCTTGCCAAAATTTCATTGTTAGAAATATATGTCGGACTAAATGGTAGCTGAAAGGTGTTTGCTTAAACTATACAAAAGTTATGATTAATACGCATTTAACAGAACACTAGTTTTCCTTCTGCTACTTTCTTATTAGGCTGAGGCACTATAATATAGTATGGTGCCTCAGTCTATGGCAGTATTATGGTGCCTTAGTATATGGCACCATAAGATAATATGGTGCCATATAATTATTTTCAAGTATGGTCTATGCAAGCACGAGGATATAGTCCTTTTGGAACCAGTAAAGGTATATATAGATAGATATGTATGCAATGAATATTTTGATACGGGTGATATACAAGATGTTACTTTTACATAATTATCTACAAATATAGCTGATTCAACAGTTTTGGTGTTGACAAAATGTCGGATAGTATTTTAGAAAAGACGAAGCAAAGGAAAACGTAGCCCTATAAAATGAACTGCCGGTCAAAAAATAATACCGCTATGGTTTTAGTTTTTTTCCTATTGGTTAATTAAGGTTTTAGTTTGAAACTTTTAGGACTATTATTACTTAAGATTTTTTGCATTCTGTAAATAGATGCGTTATTAGCCATTATGTAAGGATCACATGATAAAAATTAATTTTCAAATGGCCTAGTTAAGATAGATTTTGTTATAAGCACATTACTAATTTTAGGGTAAAGAGGAAAATAAACATACTAAAACAGAAGACTTGACGGTCAATGCAAGTTAAAGTTATGATTTTATTTTACATATTACACAAGTTCACATTTTGCAAAGATTAAATATTACTATTATTTTAGAAGTTCAAGAACAAAAATCAGCATTATATTTGCAAATTTTCCAGGACTAGTTTCGGTGGTTTAACTATCGAACCACTTCCTCAGCTGCCAAAGTGCAAAAGAAAGAGATAAGATATGGTGATAAGATAAGAATGGCTGGACAGAAGCTAAGCTACTGGCGTCCTCTATTCGTGAATCAAGAGAACAAACATAATTTCCTTAAAGACTGAAAGTAAAGATGGATTTGAATTATGGTCATTAACTAGAGGAGGGAGATATTTTTGGATCTGAAACGCCTCTAGAAAAATCTAATTCACTAATGGAAAATGTTTCTTGAATAATTTTGGCTGCAGAAAAAATGGAAAGTGTGAATTTCAGACCAACAGTGCTGGGCAACAGAGAACTGCGGTGTTTCCTTTTTCCTAATATATGCCTCACATTTTTTAACGCGAAATTTTAAGGCTGTCTTTGTTTGAACAACGTATATTAAACCACGTTGGCAAGGAATCCTGTAGATACCCCAAGAATTCATATCCCAAATGGGGTCCTTAAGTATGGAAAACGACCGATCGTGGACAGATTATTGAGATGAGAATTTTTTAACTGCTTGGTTAATAATGTTGGACGAAAATCCCCGGTCAGTAGCAACTGCTTATCTCAACACACCAAAAGACACATCTTTTTAGGAGATTATAAGAATTCTGTTGTCATTCCTTTCCCAATTCTAAAGCTTGGCATGTTTACGAAAATTAACCTTTGGATCGTTTATTCTCCCATCAATAAATTCCAACTCGATATGATCCCACTCCGGATATTCCAGGATCCTTGTCACGTGGTTTACTTACATTGGTGAAACTAAGAGAGATTCAACTTCGCGCCACTAAAAAAAAAAAAAAAAGAACATGAGACATGTGTTAGGAAAAAAGACACACAGAATTCCTCTGTTGCCCAGCACTGTTGGTCCGAAAATCATTCCTTCCATTTTTTTTTCAGACAAAATATTCGAATAACATCTTTCATTGGTGAATTGGATTTTCAGAGGCGTTTCACATTAAAAAAAAACTCTGATTTTATTACCTAGTTAACGAATCTATCTTTACCTTCAGCCTTTAAGGAAATTATGCTTTAATTTTCTTGTTTCATCAATAAATGGTAACAGTAACTTCACTTCTAGCCAGTCATTTTTATCTTATCACCATACGTAATCTCTTTCTTTTGCACTTGGCAGCTTAAGCAGATGGTTCAGTAGTTAAACCATAGAAACTGGTCCTGGAAAATTTGCAAATATTAATGCTGATTTTTGTTGTTTGACTTCTAAAGTAATCGTTGTTCGGCATCTCATTTTAACCTAAATATTACTATTTTTTTACATGTTTTGCTTTATAACTATTACATCAACCATATTTAATATTGTTGTAATTATTCTAATTCGTAGCTCATTATTATAATAATTAGCGTCTTCATTCATTATAATAATATTCAAAATTGCAATTTTAATATTATTTTCTATGTTACTATTCGAAATTATTTCTTTGTTATTTATGTTTCATATTTATCTGATTTTCAAGATTATTAAAATATTTTAAGAATATTTCAAAATTATAATAAATGCATCGTATTTTACCATATTCCCTAACACAATGCTGGACAAATTTTGATATCGTTTGCTTGATTACTTGCCTTAAGCATATTTACAAGCAAAATAAATAACAAATAAAATAAAATAATTAAAAAATTAAGATTCAATTTGGTGATCGCCTGCAGGCGCTCTTTTAAAGTTTAATATTGTTTATCAATAGGGATTATTGATGAACATGGCACAAGAGGAACAGCGAAATATTTTATGGGATATTATATGAATATGGATTTAGACTAACATAGGAAGATTATATATCTCCTTAATATTTAAAAAATACATATATAATGCATTATATAAATATTTAATATTTTTAATTATGTACCACTAATTAAATGCATTTTTATTTAAATAAATCGGATTAAAAAGTAAAAAATAAAATTTTTACAATTTTTTATCTATTTCTTTTCAATAGTTTAGTTTTTTAGTTAATGACTGACGGATTAAATATGAAAGAATAATATCCTTCATTTTTCCGAATGACAACAGACTGGAATGAAAAGTAAAACAATGCATTTACAAAGTCGCACACAAAATTGCATTTTGAGACTAATAGCCCTTTTGGGTTAAAAATTAATCTTAAGTTCGTTCTTCTCAACTTTTGTTTTGAAAAGTTACTTGCACAGGAAAGCGAAATGAATTATGAGAAGTCGTTTGGCTTTAGTGGGCACAAAGTAACACGGCCAGTGTCTAAACAGGATTATCTGAAAATAGAACTATTTTTCTTTCCTCTTAGATAGCATGTGTAAAGGATGAAATTCTTAAAACTTAATCACATCACTTGAAAAATTATACATCCAGTTTCGTGCACAAAGTTTCTGCTGAAGAACCATTTTGCTACGTGAAAACTATCGGCAGGCTTAATGTTGCTCAGCGGGAGATTCCCACAGGCATAATCCTGTCGACTTTAATAATATGAAATCAATATTTTGATGTGGGTGATACAGAATGAGATGTAGCTGCTACATTAAAAAGTACTTGTGATCAGAGCCGCTTCAACATTTCTTGGGAAATTTATTGACTAGCACAATTAAACTGGTGCAATCTGAATGCTTTTTATTGAACATTTACATTTGTAATTTTCACATTTTTATATTATATTTGAAGTAAGAAAGATTAACGATTCCTTGCATGTCAGCAGGACAGTATACGACAGAAACATGGTAGGTATGAAGGTTTGGTTAAGAGTAATGGAGTTATGATTTTGTTTTATTCTTATTTGTTCATAAACTTTAGCAAATTTTGATGTTGTTTGCTAAAAGATTTCTTACGTAAATGGTCATTAGTATTATACAAGAAAAATATGAGAGGAAGTAAATTTGAAATGACGCAGCTCAGAAAAATTTATTATGAGCATGATACTATTTTTAAGGTAGAAAAGAGAAAGAACCAGTTAAATAGAAAACTTAATCTGGGAATCATTAAAATTTAATCTGGGAGATATTTCAGCACCTGAGGCGTAGAAACATCTATGACTCTCTAGCGAAAATTCGATTTATTTCAAATTTTTATTTAATCAGTTTTAACCCTCTCGCTGCGCATCCCGCGATTTCCAAGGGCAACCTAGAAGTAGCAAAATTTGCGCAACCCCTCGATTTCCGCGAGATGAATTTTCGCCGTCTATTTAACTGTGTAACCCGCTCTTCCCCGTTCAAGGTTTCCTTTCGGATTTTCTGTGATGTTTAATTGTTTATTTAGATGTGGGCTAACAGATGGTGTTAGTTGTCCACATTTCTGCCAAATATACAAGAATACGTAATGTAGCATTTTGCACGCGCTTTTCAGAGCTAAAAGATGTCTGGTAGGAAGCGTTTCGGCGAGTGACCTGTATTCCCGACATTCCCGATTCGACCTATATTCCCCGACACTGATAGTAGTTCTGATTCTGATTTCAAGTATACTGAAGATAGTTATAGCGAAACTGGTAAGAATTTCTCGGATTCCTTAGCAGATAGCGATAAATCTAAAAATTCAGTTTATATTGAAAACGTTCGACAGTGGTGCAAAATTGATATACAGTACAAAGTCCGTAATCCGGACGTCCATTATCCGGAATGACCTATAATCCGGACTTCACAAACTTACGCATGCGCGTTATTTGCGCGCGTCCGCTACGCATGCACGTAAAGCGTTTACCCATGCGCGCTTCCGATAGTGAAGAAAGTGACAGAGAGGTTATTGAAAGTGAAAAAATTTCGATTGACAAGTTTGTCGTTGTTATTTTGATAAAAAAGTACGCAGTGAGAGGGTTAATGCAACTAAGTTTAATTACAAGGCATAATTATAAGAGAAACGTTTAATAAAAATTTAAATCCTTCCGGAAAAATAATACGAGATGTATTTAAAATAGTGGAAGATAAAAGTGCTTTTGGCGATTCAACTTAAGTAAGGAAATCAATTAGTCAAATTCATGTAACAATTCAAGCATTTTTTTATAAATGTACACATGTAGGATAATTAAGAAGAATTATCACTATGTTTGTCGTAACCGATTTTATTACCTAATTTGTATCCGTAACTTCATAATACCTTAATCCTGTCATAGTATGAATAACTGCTGATGTTAAAATAGTTCTAAAACACTAAATTGCGAAGTAACAAAAGAACTTGTATGCATGAATTTGTTTCTGCATATATGATTTCTGAAATTTGAGCTGTTTTCAACACTAGATATTTGTTACATAATTCCTGTATCAGTTATGAAATATAAGCAAACATACTAAAAATGTACTAACTTTTGTTTTGTTTGCATTTGACTAAGCATTATTACACGAGTATTTATAATTTGATTCAAATAATATGTTATTATGTTTAGAAAGTCGTCAGCAATCGTCTTTTACTTTGTTAAGCATTTTTTTCTATGTAAAAAGATGCTTCAGGAGTTTCTTTTGTAAAGAATCATCGAAAGATTTCTCCCATTTTCAATCAGACAATTAATGACAATTTAAGAACAATGACTAACAATTTAAGAACGTTTCAAGAATCAATTGAACGCATTATGTCTGTTTTCCATTTTCTAATTCTAAAAGAGAATGCAGTTATTTCTTCAAATTTTTAAGTTTAGAATTAATTCTATGTCCCTCGTATGTACAGTAAGGACAAGGGACGCATAGCAACCGGGAATTAATAACATTCAAACTTTATCTGACATTCATTTTAAATGAAAATTCAAATACATTTTCCCTAATAAACAGATATTAGAGGAAACTGTCTTAAAGTATAAATACATTAGACAATATAAAAAGCTAACTAAATCAAAAGTGTAAGTAAAACTTAAGTATCTGAAGAATGCAGAATACGATGAATAAAATTAGAAAATAAGACAATTAGCTATGCTAAATTATTATTTATTTAATAAGTTAGGAGCTGCTATAGATGTGTAATACATATATGAGGTAGAGGTACTATATATGTAATGCATATATAAGGTAGAGGTGGTATATATGCAATATATATGTAATATAAACTTTACATAATAATTTATTTTTATTTTATACATAATAATAATAATAATAATTCCAGAATTATGATATGCAGTTCAATATGACAAGTTACTGAAATATCACACTGAGTAGAAGAAAACGTTCTCCAGGTTTCAGCTAATGATTTCTTAAAAGAATTAAAACGAATATTTTTAATAAAAGTGCTATCATCAAAATAAATATATTATTATTTTATTTCAATATATCTAGAGCTCAGTCAGCATTTCAACCTAAAAGGGATGCCAGTTATCAAGAGGAACAAGATAAATGGCTGTTAAGCACATAAAATACATTCGAGTAAGCTATATATTGAAGACTCCAGAAGCTTCATAAAAATTTACTTGCTTTATTCGAAAGACATTAACTTGGAAATTCTACTTAGAACGTTTCAAACAACTATACAATTTTGTCAAATAATTTTTTTTTGAATGTTATGTAATGTTGATCAATGGTGTAATGTTGATCAATCAACACGTTCATTCTATGTATTACATAGCTGAGATCTAAGTGACTTAGTATTCTCTTTTGAAGTTCTTTATCACTAAAGTCGGCATCGACGTTTCTATTTCTGCCATAAACAGGCCTTTTGGTAAACCATAATGGATGTTAACTTGCAGTTTCAGTATTTGAATGATCCTGAACTTACATCTTTTAGTTCTCTCATTTTCTTCGATTGTTCGTTTTCCTCATATTGGGTAACAGACAATGTTGGTAAACTCATCATCCACCTACAATTTAAAAAGAAAATAAATAAAAAATAGTTTTCAATCAATCAAGGAATTATGATTAATTCACTTTAATTTGAATTTAACGCAATTGTACTGAACCATCTGCATTTGTTAACATGCAAAAATGACACCAGAATTTGATTTAAGTTTACTTAATGAATTTTGGGATTGTGACCCGTAAAAACATCGATGATAACTAGATACAAAAGCAGTCAGTGCTGGTGTTCAGGGGGTTGAAATCTTATTTTTATATCATATTGGGATTCATAAAATGTTTAAGTGATTATTAATCATCAAATTTGAATGAGTGTAAATGAGTTTGTTTGTTCTTTACTGCAAGGAAAAAACATATTATGCATCTCATAATCATGCTTACGTTAGTCTTTCTCTTGCTAAGAATTAAGGTCTCCTCTGGTTTCATTTAAGTTCTGTCAGATGCGTTGTAGACAGCCCAAAATCTAAACAGGTGCTGGAAATTACCACCTGTTTTTAACAAACTTATTCATGGTTATCAAATTGTTTAACATCACGAGGGAGATAGAAGTTTCGGTATTTAGTTTTCTGTTAAAGACAAAAGATAAAAGACAGGAGAAAGAGAAAAGACAGGAGATCATTTTTGATTATGCAGCATATTTTAGATTTAACGATATCTACTTGAGAAATATTAAAAAAATTAACCCCAATTATTATCTATAAGCTTTTTTAAAACTTATTACTGGTTAAAAATATTTAGAAAAATAATATCTTAGCTTCAAAACCTTCTTAACGGTGAGTTGACAAGAATGAAGAAGAAAATAATGTATGTTAGGTTCTGGCATAAATTGTGTCACATACTTAAATTTACTCGTTATTTTATGTTATTACAATTATATTTCGAGATTTTTAAAAAATATTTTTTGATTTATAATTGTTTGCATTTTCGGTTTCTGTAAAAAGTAAAAAAATTGATAATCCTTTTATAAGGGCTAAAATTTGTTAAAATTTTCAAAGCTCCCCACTGAATAAAATATAGTACATTGCAATCAATGCACATCTGAATAACAGTGCTTACGTGTTGAGATTATTAATAGAGTGTAATGCAGTACTGTGCAAATTATGTTTTCTATAAGCAAGATTGAATGCATGTTAGTAGATTAAATGTTGGGTATGTAAAATGAAAACAGTTTTAATGAAACTCGCGATATTATATTTAACCTTGTGACATTTATGATTAAGTTTTGCTGACAGTTACCTTTATAATTAGCAGACAGTTGATTTCTTTCAAGCAGTATCTCCTCGCGTTACTCGATCAGTTCGGAGGCTTATGTTAATTATACAGCAAAGCGGCGTAGACTAAAATTAGATGCAATCTTAACCCGTAGCTTACCGTCACATTATCGCTTGCTGCAGAAACCCGCCTGCAATTATCCTGCTACACTACATGGTATGGAAACTGGGATGATTTTTTTAGTTATAATTAAAATATATCTAATGGTTAATTTTTTTCATTGCAACGATATGGATTTTAAAGGTGGATTATTTCTTCTTTCTCTGCTAATATTGCATTAACAATTGGAAATGAAATTTCTTGACAATGATAACAATAGTAGTTACAATAAATTAATAAAAACTTACTTAAAATACATCTTGAAAAGTTTACATAAGTCTTTTAAATTTTATTTTAATCCTTCTTTTTATATTTTCTGTATTTCTGTATGAAAATGCAAGATATAAACTAGATTTCTTGCATTTTCATAAAATATGTTATACAGAGATGCCTGCGGCTACAGTCACTGGGGGTCACACTCCTCAAGTATAATTAAAAACCAGTCCTCTTCTATTAGTTTCGTTTAGTTTATAATTTATATACTATATCAGGCATGCTTTCTTCAGTTATTTAATTACACTTGCTTAGCTTTGTCATAATATAGGTATTTTAATTTTGATCATTTAAATCAGATAATTTATGGGTAAGTTATGGGAACTGTATATTTAAAAATGGAATTTTTTTTGATCTTTGAAGCTAAATTTGAGTAACAAAAGAAGTCTTATTAAAAGACATTAAATGAAAAATAAGTACACTTACGCAAAGATTGCAGCAGCTGGTATGAGAAAGATGGCAGCAGCAGCAAAAGGCAATCCTGGGAAGAATTGTGCTGACCAGTCATACAACTGTATCATGATAATTGTTCCAAGAACAGGAGTGAGAGATTCACAAGTTGCCAGTAATGAAAATACCCGCCCTATGTGAATAAAACAAATGACAATAATAAAATGAAATTGTCATTTGCTCCATTTTAAATAATAACAAAATTTATTTTTCGAAACTTTATTTATCATGTGATGTTAAAAATGCAACGAACCGGTTTATTTCTTAGAATGGACTCAGAACACACAGACGATTGTCTATTATAGGTGAATATAATACTGAATTATCACATTTTATATTGCAAAAGTTTTGAGAAAGAACACAGGGTTGTCCAAAACTACTGACCGCATTTCATGATTGAAAAAAAAAAAAAAAAGGAACAAAATGAGGTATTTAGATGTTGAGTGTTTTCCTGGAAAGAAAATTTAAAAGAACCACAATATTTTGAATATTAATAATAACGTTTGAACATTAATAAGATAATAGATACACAGAAGCAGTTTTTGCAACTGCCAGTAAAACGATAACTCCTTAATAAAAGAGAGAGTATCTACTGTGAAGAAATTATCCAAAAGGGATTAAAATCGGTACATGCAAAGTATTTGATTAAGGAATAAAACCTCTACGATTGCAAAAGATTAGGTTCGTTTAAAAACGCAGATACGAGAGGAATGAAATTAGAGTTACGACGCAAACTCAAATGTAAGAGTTCACCGGCATGGGATGGAAAATATACTGAAATGTGGTATAATACACATGATTTTATACTTCTCCGTTGTATTTGAATGGAATAATAGCAATACATCGTGTGCCAAACATACTCTATCAAAAAGAGATTGGACAATCTAACTACTGAAAGTTAAAGTCAACATTACCAAATGTGCCGTGAGAGAATCGTATTGTGCATAACTGCTTTCATTTTAGGGACGGACCGGCAAAAATGTAATAAGAATAATAAAAATCTGGTTTTAAAACATTGTTATCATACATTGCTACCATGACACTGAAACGAAATACCACGAATGTTTGAATCTCACAAAAAACAGTTTTACGAATAATCAGTTCTGTATGAGAGAGATGTGTCAGTTTTTTTCAATAAAGGTAGATCTAATGCGTAAACTAATGCATTCTAAAATTGTTTGTCCGTTAGTTTGACAGAAGTTTATGAGACAAAAGACTGCAGTTTCCTAACTGATGAAAATTGATTTTCTGTTATCGCATAGCCTTTGTAGCCCTCAGATTAACAACTAAATAAAAAACTTAAAGTTCATCTGAGTTTGTTTCACTATATTTTAGAAACAAATAAGGGATGAAAAGTCGTCTTTACAATTCTAGAAATTGATGATTAAAGTAATATGAAACGTATAAACTTATTTGTAATTCAAATACCAATTAAAAAAAAAAAAAAAAAAAAAAAAAAAAAACTTGCAAAGTAAATGAAAACGCAAAGGAAGGTTTAGCTTACCTAATTCCTTTCGGTTTACCAATTTCGATATCCGTGATCGTATGGCGATACCTCCGCATGCAAATAATGCCCCACTTGACCAAGCTGTAAATTAAAAAAAAATAGACTCCATAGAATTTACTTATTTGGAATAAGTAGAAATAAATTAGAATTCATTCTTCTGAGCTAACAGTAATGCCCTAACCGTTTATGTGCGGAATGTGCATAAATTTTCAGTTACATGCTTATGCAAAGGGAGGTTGTGAAGCCGTGTACTGAAATAACTGGATCCATGGGACACTTAGCAAAGGATAATGATTGATGCTTTTTAACTTAAAGTACACTTTTCGATGTTAGTTCTTCAGAGGAGATAATAAGTACTTTTAAATAATGTTAAAAAGCGTTTAAGTAACATTAGTACGTGTAGTACATTAGTACATAAGTACGTTTATGTAACTGTACCCATTTCTGTCATTGTATACTCTATAAAATAAAAAGCGACACACAAAGAAGGAGTAATGCAAAAACGACGAAATTGCGTATTCCGATACCTTAGGCTAGAATATGCAAATTTTCTTTTCAATCTTTTGGCTGAACCAATGACTGAAGAGCTAGAACTCCAGCACACTGCAACTGAGCCTCCGGATGGTATATAAAACAGAGGACATTCCAGCGCTAAGGCATACCTTCGAAGCGAATATGGACTTATCGATCCATGCGGACTGTGCCAATGCTTTACAGACGAGTTTACGAATAATATGAGCAGATGTAACCATTTGAGAGAGGACTTGCAATTGAACTAAAGGAAGCAGAGTTGTCAAATCTCAGAATAGTTCACAGAAATGTGTGACCCATGGCCTTAAAGAGCTTCAAGAAGGTAGCCGTCGACCGAGAGCGACGACAGAACGCGAGGATAGAGTGATCGTCCAATCGACGCTCACAGCCCCTGATGCATCCTTATCAACGATGCGCCGTGTATCCGGGACACCAGTAGCTACAATGACCTCTGATAGGTAACTCAATGAACGAAGACAGGTAACGAAGGCTATTGCGCCGACTGCATCTGACCGTTGAATACCGTCAGGCACTTTTGCAGGTTTGCCGATGCTTTTGATATGGGATCGCACTGACTAGAGTAGAACAGATTTCAGCGATGAACCCCCTTTAAAAATGAGCCCCGAGTATCCTGTATCACAGCTCACAAATTAAGGCACCTAGCAAAAAGGTATTCTCGTATGTCAGTAGTTGACCAGTTGACGGTTGAAGGGAGTTAAGTACTAAAAGCACCGCCTAAGGGTGAAAGGTACATTTTAAAAAATTCACAATAGTCACAAAATAAATAATTAGAATAGTCCTCTGAAAAGTTCATCAATAAGAATTATATATTAAAAGTCCTCAGAAAATTGTGAAAAGTCTTTTAAAAATGTACGAGCACATAAATGAAGTGAAATAAGTCCATAAAAGAAATCTTAATGTAACTTTTAATATACACTCCGAACTGGATTCGAACTCACGATGTGCTGGCCCGTAGATCCTATTCTTATCTTGTCTATTAAAGTGTTGGCTTTTTTAACTTGTAAGGCAAATTCAGTTACCTTCTTTAGAATATTTCTAGTATTTTCTGAAGCTAAGAATTTTAGCGTTTCAGCCAGAATATCATTTTCAGGTTGTTTTTATGACATCACTAAAGGATCTTTTTCCTGTAACAGATGGTGTTGGAACTTCTTTGCTTCCAGTTTTGTCTTTTTAGGAAGACTTTAAAGGTTTCTCGACGAGGTGATTAGCCATCTTATTTAGTTTGGGAAAGTTTAGACACTCTGGGTAAGAAGCTGGGTGGTTTCCACTTTCACATAAGATGCATTCATCTTTTCCTTCTTTAGTCCGAGTACCTTCATATGTAAAGTGACTTTCGAAGCCTTTGATGAATCTAAGTTTATTGAAGCACCCTGCTTGGGTATGTTCATACCGGTCACAGCGGTAGCACTGTCGCGATCAATATCTTCGGGCGAAGTTCTTCTATTTCTATTCTCACATGAGCCTCGATGACTAGCGAAGATATATTTATAGACGTTCAAGACAGCGTTGGGATATTCCCCTGACTGCCATCCGCCACACAGCCCGACAACCTAGAATTATTATACGGGATGCCATTTCATTTTATAGCCAGACTTCTTTGGTTGTCATTCTTGATATTCTTACAGCACGACAATGATAACACGTCTACGAGATTCTATGCTTCGTAGCGCTACGTTGCTTTCACGGATCCGTGGGCTTACATTTCTCAACCTCAGGTCTCTTATTTCCGCAGTTCTCGCGAATTTCTCTTATTTCTGTTTTTAGTTTCGAGATATCAAAATTTGGATCTTATATTTGAGCCGCTTTAATAGGATGGCGATCTCTTCGAGTCGCTTGTTGAGCCGACTCGAACTTCATAGCGTAGACCAAGGCAGATTTCAGGTCTTTCAGATCCGCCAATCTGAGAGCTTTCTGAATTTCCGCGTCCTTAACGGCATCGACGAAATGCATCAAGGCCAGATTTTTTCTGACATCAGGTGGACAGTCCGGATATGCTTGATGCGCCAAACTTTCGATGTCAGATGCAAGTTCTTGAAGGCTTTCCGTAATTTTCTGTTGGCGGGATTTCAATTGCAGGCGGATATAGACCTTTGCGCACTTTTCCCCGAATCTCGTTTCCAGCTCATTCGAGAGGGCGTTGAAGTTTGAAATCTGGTCTTCGGAGAGGACCCCTAAGATGTCTGCAGCATCTCCTCAGAGTACGCAGCCAACTGCGAAGCCTTCATGTGGGAGTCCTACTTGTTATTTTCCGCCACGATGGAAAATTGGGTCTTATATATACTCCATGATGATTTTCCATCATATGTGCTTGGTTTGTTAACCGTATTAGAGTACACTGGGGGAACCTTCAAATCTTCAGCTTCGTTCTTGGGCTCAGTCCAGTTTTCTTTCAAAACATCTACTTCTTTCCGGAATTTTCTCAATTTTTCTTCAAATCGTTCTTCCACAGCCGCTATTTTTGCTCCAGTATCCTCTCTAAGCTCCACGATCTCGCTTTTAATCTTTTCTTGTTCCACTTCCATCTGTTCGAATTTTGGTTGCATCTTTTCTTGAATGGCTTTTATTTCGCTCTTGATCTTAGCCTTTATTTCCTCCTGTCCCGCTTTCATTTCTTTCATTTCAGCTTTCATCTTTTCCCGTCCGGCTTTAATATCTTTCAGTTCGGCTTTGATTTTTAGTTTTGATTTCAGCTTTCATCTCTTCCTGTCCGGCTTTCAATTTGGCTAAAAGGTACATCAAAGTCTTCGTTTCTTCCGCCATGGCTTTCCTCTGCAGCCGGGTCAGATTTACACGACAATGCATCAAACTTCGTTGGGGTTGAAAGCTGAGCGAAATACAACGATAGTGGGCTTCACTCTCTAAGAACGAAGCCGTTGCTCATCATTTAACTCAAGCATCAATAGAATGACACTTTATACCTCCAGCATCTTCTCATTTCGAACGAATTTGGAAGGCCGCAATTAAATCAACCAAATATCACTGTAAAAGAGTAATCGGTGAAACTCTACTTACTTTCGAAAGAATTGACAACTCTATTGGCTCAGATAGAAGCCATTTTAAATTCTCGTCCGTTATGTATTGTAAACAATACTGACATTGATTGCATTAATATTCTCACTCCTTCACATTTTCTTACAGGAGACGTGATCCTATCCCCTCCTGAACTACCTCTTACTAGTACTGCCAATATTCGGAATAGGTGGGGTATCCTTCAAAAGATGCGGAAGGACTTCTGCAAATCATGGACCAAAGCAAATCTATCTTCTCTGCAAACCAGAAAGAAATAGAAGGATACTCAACCGAATGTAAAATTTGAGACATCGTCCTGTTACTAGATGATGGTCATCTTCCAGGTTCTTGGACACTAGGACAAGTGGTCGAACTTCATCATGGTACAGGCGGACTGGTTCGTGTGGCCACAGTTAAAACTAAAAACTTTATTTTTAAAAGGAACATTCATAAATTAGCTCCTTTGCTCATATATCAGGGCTAATGCCTGATAGGGTGGGAGTATGTTCCGGTACACAGGAACAGAACTACTCAATTTAACTCTGTTTCGCTTTGGCACTATGCCAAAGAACATTAATTCAGTTGAACAGTCGGACTCAGGCGATCATATTCGCAAGGCAGCTGGAATGCTGTCCATTTTTCATTATTTCTGTTCTATTCTCGCATTTACAAGTTTTATATGTCATTTTCTTGTTTATATTTATATTGTGCAATTATTTAATATAAGTTTTGTGTTTAAAAAGAGGATATGTATCTAATTCAATCACAATACATAGCAACATGTTATATAGGGTGTTATACAGTTTTTTATGGATGCACCATTTGTTAGCAGTTGTCCAAGATGGGATGTTACCTGTGTTTGAATCTGTCGTATCTCCACAGCCATACTGTTTTCTGTTTTTGTAAAACAGTAATAAATTGCATAAGGTATTTAACACTTAGCTATAAAATATCTTGGATGTCAACTTAGTTTGCAGTTTAAAACTTCTGATAATGTTAAAGAGAAAGCAACTTAAGATGCTGGGTATAGTAGATTAATCATATTAGATATTTTTTTGCTTAGGATATCTTTGACTCACAATGGATTTATTAGGGCGTATTATCATCGTAAATATCAATATTTGGCAGTAACAGTATTTGTATTTACATGTATAATGCAAGGAAGACAATAACATATGAAAATGTTTGAGTTCCACTCTTATACGTACCATAAAAAATGAGGCTTTCCGTTATTGCCACTGACATGAGAGTCATTCTGGCCATAAGCGAGAGTACTCCTACAAGTCCTACTGCTGCTTCATGTACCAGTAATTTCCGATTTAAGAAAGGTACTATTGCTAATGTTGCCGCAGCATTCAAAAGACTAAACGTTGCTGTCGTGTAGGAATAACGGGTAACTTTCCATTTAAATACTTTCCGTGTGTAAGAAAATCCAATAGCTACTGATCCTACAGATAAAGGAAAGAAACACATAAAATTGTATTTAACTTGAATTTCTGCCAATTTTCCTTTAAAGAAAGTTCAAAATAATTGAATTCTTTTAAATACTATTTCTTAAAAATAGGGTGTAGTATAGAAATAAGAATTTTGTATTCTTTGTACACTTATATATATACATAATTTGGTGGTTAGCAGATGTCAAAGATTTTGTATTTTATTTTTTATAATGAGTATAAATAAAAATTTGCTAAATGTAACTATGGGGATGTAGTGAACGTATTAAAAAAATTATATGATGCAATAGCTAGCTGATTTCCCAATTGACGGATAAAAGTGATGATTACCTCTTTTAACGATACAGTTTGTAAGGCTGCAATTAATTTGGAAACTAAATAAGTCCTATTAGTCTGTAGCGACACTAGGTATTTTTGGAAGACGGCAAAATGAAAAGTGAGAAACGCCTTCACCGGGAATCGAACCAGGGACCTCTGGAATAAGCGCCCAGTGTGCAGACCACCACACCATGAAGGCACGGTAAAAAGGCGGGAGAAATACCTTATATACTCCCCCTTTTTTAAAGGGCGACTGAGGTTTTTAGGGAACCCAATCGCCAAATCCTGGGGATGGAGAGTCATTTCCTTCTTTCCTTCCACCGACAGCGAGGCAGCCGGTCCACTGGGTAGTTAGCATATCGGCCAGGTAGCCCCGCTGACGGAAACGAACAAAAAACACACTTATAAATACATATTGTGCTCAAGACGACTGCTGGGAGCAGTGCAAACAAATGCTGGACGAAGACGATAGTGCATGATGGAAGAAGGGTGCATTGCGGGTGAGAAGAACAATTTCAGTTACACATTTACAGAGTTATGGACATGTGGTTACAAATACAAAAAGTAATAAGAAGTAAAATACTAGAAAGTGAAATAATACATAAAATAAAAAAAGGGAAGAACAATGATTTTGCGTCTGAGATTTTGCGTGCAATGCGTTTCAATGCATTGCGATTTTTTGAAGTAGCTTCGGCCCATGCATGGATGTGGTTTGCTACTGGTTGCCTAAGATGATATTTGGCGGTCTCTCTGCAAGCGAACAGATAGTGGTCCGGATCTCCTACCATCCCGCATGAGCAATGCTCGTTTTCTCGTCGTCTAAAGCGATGCAGGTAAGTCATGAAGGAACCATGTCCTGTTAGATACTGAGTGAAGTGAGACGAGCCAGATTTTAGAAGCCGGCAGACTTTTGGAAAAAATCTGTAAACTCTTCTGCCGGTGGTCTCTGTCTCCCACAGATGTGGCCAACGTTTGAGTAATTCTCTCTCGAGCTCAGCTTTTAAGAACGAACCCGGGAGAGGCACGTCAAAGTGTGCGAACATGGGGGTCAGTTGCTGTTCTTTTGGCTATTGCATCTGCAATTTCATTACCCAGTATTCCAGTGTGGGCGGGTGAGGAGAGTCATCATCCACAACCCTTTTAGTTCGGGCGCCACTGTAGAAACATTAGGTTAATTGGAAAAGTCGGAGAGATGAAAAATTAGCAACCGCATTCGCCTGGAATCGAACCACGGACCTCTGGAATATTGGCTCAGCTTGCAGACAACACTGCGGTGGCATGCTAAACAGGGAGAAATACCTTATAAGTATACTAGACATGTTAGCCAGTTATCTCTAAGTCTGAAATAACACGCAAAGACTTTCGAAGGCTTTAATTAACTCTTTTTATTTAATCTTCAACTTGTAACATAAAAGGCGGGATTTGTGCTACAGACAGGAAAAAATGTTCGTGGCGATGTGAATTAAACAATAAGAGTGAAGTAACTTTAACGCTGATAAAGTAGTCTAAGACTACTAAGTCAAATAAAGTAAGTTATAGTTTGACTCAATATTTTACCGGCGGGTAAGTTTAAGGTACCGGTTGCAAGAGAATGCAAAGCCGAAATAATAACTTTTAAGCAGAGTTGATAAAATTCTTACAGCCCTACGATAGTGCCAGAAACTTCTAAAGTCATTAGGTTTAGGGATGCAGCAGATGTGAAAAATGTGCAATGCTCTGGTCGGGATTCGAACACCGGACTTCCCGATTAGCTTCCAGTTACAACACGAAGGCACGCGGAAAGGAGAGAGACTCATGTGTGTATTTAATTATGGGAAAGCACACTAGGGCTATCTGCTTAAGGGGGATGTCTTCGTGGAGGACTTTCTAAGGGAAACTGGCTCGTATACACGTTACACATGGGGAAAAACACGAAAACACCCATGTAGCCAGCCTGTTCGCGGGATTCGAACCTCGGACCGAACTACCAGTGTTCCGCGGCTTTACCGCTCGGCCGCTGGTGGGCCCAGGAAACGAGGGAGAAAATATCATGTATATTCTCCCTTTTAATGGGTGACTGCGATAAAAAATCCCAGGCGCAAAATCCTGCTGGTGACGAATTATCATTATCAGCCTTAAAGATCGGGTGCTACTAATAGTCATTAAGTTTATCGATGCAGGAAACGTGAAAACTGTGCAAGAACTCGCTGGGATTCGAGATCAGACCTAACGATTATGCGTCGGATGTACTTTCAGTTACGCCACGAAGGCACGCGGAAAGGACGATGAAAATATCTTATAAATTTCTAAAATCCCAATACCTCAGCCTGCATGCACTAAAAGCTAATTTGTAGGGAAGGAGGAGCCCATAGTAAAAATTAAAATCATACGTGGTTAATTAACACACAGTAGGTTACAAATTATCTGGATCACAAGCACAGAACTTTAATTACCAAAACCATTTACGATATTATGTAAGTCAAATACTGGCACCCATATCATAATGTGGAGATTCTAGCTGTAATATACGTATTCTGGTCAAAACGCATCATAGTATAAATGTCCACCTTTCTAGCAGTTTTAGTTGTTCTCTCGAGAACTGAATATAAATTTACAGTTAATTCAGTTGCCGATGAATGGAACCTTTGGTCTTTATCAATGTTTAAAAGGTTGTAAAATTTCTTAGGTTAATTAAACAGTTATTGTGATTTAAGTCTTTATTGTAACTTCTACTTTCTGTATTTCTCGCCAGTATGCAAATTAGCTTTCAGTGTATGTAAGCTGAATGTTTCTGAATCTTAGTCATAGAGCTTCTGGGAACCGTATCTTGTTCTCAGTATTTTTGCTAGCTTTGCTTAAAAGTTATATTCTGGCTTTAGAATCTCCCTAGCCGATGTTTTGAACGACGTGCCGACAAAATATTCTGAACCAGCTTATTTTGCTCTAGTTAATGTGTAGTCTTATATTACGTTGTCAACGCTTGAATTGTTATGAACGCTGTTATGTTAATTTAAATATCCACAAGTAGTGGAAGTTTCTTTTATAACATAAGCTGTGCCTTTATGTTAAGTTTAAACCTAAATGAAAAGGTTATTTAAACCTTCTTCATTATCTTGTGATAAAAATATCTTGCTGTTTTTCTAAGAGGATCTGCAGGACTTTAACTTCCACTTACGACAGAAACCCTACAAGGTACTGTCTCACAATTTCTGTTTCTAAACAGTTCATAATTTTATATTTTGTCCTCCATGCTGGAGAAATGGCCATTTGTGATGCTCTTGCTACTATCGATTAGGAAACACCTAATTCCTTCCTGCATTAAGAAATTCCCAACCAAAAAATCAATATTCAATAAACCGTCAAGGACTGGCCAAGAACTTGTGTTCTAGCCTCAACTTAATGTTAATCTACAAATTAATTTGGAAATTGCGTTTATGCTATATCTTAATTCGGAGTAGTATTTGAATTAAAAACCGATACTATGATCAAAGTTAAAACAGCACGCCGAATATCGATTATTGGAGATATTAAGACAACAAGAATCAGCTCAATATTCGTAAGTTTGGCAGGACCTAATTTCGGAAGTTTAAACATAGAACCTGCTTCTTCAGCTGCACGAGTGCAATTTTTTTTCGGAGTCCGAAGAATATATTCTTCAGGTATTAGATTTGTACTTCTGCAGTTTAAGAAGACGATTCTATGTTTAAACCTTCGAAACTAATCCTGCAAATTCACGAGTAAAATTGCGATTATTACTTGGGTTCTTGTTGCCTTAATGCCTCTAATCACCGATGCTATGACGTACGTTTCCTTTGACTGTTACAGTTGTTCATCGTAAATAATAAAAAGAACATTATGTGCCAAAATAGTCTATTACTATGTGTTCATATCGGTTTTCAAGTTAGCATACCTAAATAATAAATATGTTTCTTATTATTACAAGTTTCGAATTTTCAGCAAAGGCTAAGTTTAGGTGTGATATTTATGTGTCTTTTTATGACTATCAATCAAGAATAGTTATTAAAACATCGTAGAATCATTAAGTTTCAGGCATCAAGATTTTATCGATAAAAAACTGTTTCTAATACAGATCTTAGTCAGAATATTAATAGTTTTTATATGAAATAAACAATGCTTACCCATGTGAATAAGTCGAAGAGAAAAACTGGTAAATAACAATAACCATATCTGCATTCTCAAGTTTCCAGGTCTTTCCTTTATGCAGGTTTTAAAACTTTTTTTCATGTTATCATATCGAAGCACATCCATAAACATTTCTTTCTTTGTGATGTCAAATCTTTTCGGTTTCGTTTCCAATACATACAATCTCACCCCACAACAGAGCTAAAGTGAGGGAACACGGGACTATGAGCATCACAGGCAAGTAACCATATTTACCGTAAACTTGGCCTCCCACAAGAGATCCGGTAGGTGTCGCCATAATAGTAAAGAATTCCAAAATGGCAAATCGAACATTTCTGGATCTACAAAGAAAAGGCAGAATATAGGAATTACTACTGACTACAAATTATTCTGTTCCAAATTTTGTCACATCATATGCATTTAACAAATGAAACGAAAAAAAAAATTGCATATTTTTCCTTAAATATTCATATGCATTTTGATCTATCATGAAAAATAATTTCGAAACGAAACTGCGTCTTCTACAAGATGGTTTCTTAATTGCAAATTTTGTTAAATTTATGATAAGATGCGTTGACTGAAAAATTCGACTCCTTGAAAATTATACAGCGGCATCGGCTGGAAAACGAAATGCATAAAAATATTTTTATTGTTTGTCAGCTATTCTAAATTTTCATAGTTTCTACTTATTGTTATTATTACTTTTATTACTATTACTATTATTTTTATTACTTTCGTGTGTTCCTAATATGAATTTTGCTGCAGTATCGTTTGTTGATCAGTCAAGAATATCCTCATTTTGCGTATTTCAATAAACAAATTATAAGGTATTTTCTTCCTCTTTCCTGCATGCCTGCGTATTCGAGAGTCTAGGTTCGAGTCCCGGCGATGACATTACTCATTGTTTACGCCTCCCGCATGAAAAAAAAAAAAAAAACCTAATAACTCTACAGTGGCACTCGAAGTAAAAAAGGTGGTGGATGATGTTTCTTCACCACCAGGATTTGGCAAATGGGTCCTCTAATCTCCAGTCGCCATTTCAAAGGAGGAATATATAAGGTATTTTCTCCCTTTCTTCTGCATGCCTTCGTGGTCTAACTGCAGTACACTCGGTGCGTATTGGAGAGATCCAGGTTCGAGTCCCGGTGAGAGTATTGCACATTTTTCACATATCCTGCTTCAAAAAATGCTTAATGTCCCTACAAAGTAAATAAATAAAAAATCATTTAAAATGAAGTAAAATAAAATATATGAAGTTAAAAAAAAGAAAATAATTTTCTTTTTGTTTTTTGGAAAAGGGGCTTTATTTTTAGTTGATATATAGAAATTATTCTTCATTAATTTTTATACTTTATTTCTGTATATACGTAACGCATTTATAACTGAGAGAAGTGCAGTTTGTCAAGACATCGCCTGAGATTCGGAATAACTATTTTGAATGCAAAGTGGAAACTTTTAATTTTAATATGATTCATAAAAAAATCTGGCGTTCGCGTGATTAAATTTTCATATTTGTTTCATACGTGTTAAATTACCTGGAACGAATAATTGTATGCAAAATAACAAAATTAATGAAGACACTAATTTTCAAAATTAGGAAGTCTTAAAAATATCCGAAATGCTTTAGATTTTAGTGGTCGCCCAAAAGGGCTTGTTAAGAGTATTTTAGGCTCTCGCTGAACTCAGAGTATAGCAGTCTGCTCTTGCACTCACTTTTGCTAATCCATTTTTCTTTGTCTTTTAGCATTATTGTTAAGCATCATTTTCTTCGTACTTACACCATATACAACTCAATGGCAAAATCACAAAATATTTTAAAACAGCCTATTTTTAGAGTTTTCGATAGAACATTTTGCGAGAGGGAGATAAAAATGTTTTATTCCGAACAATGTTACCGCTGCTCTCTTTCAAACCGTCAAGTTTGAATTTGTATTATTTAGATCAATCCGATTGAAAATTTTGAAGCTAATATGCTTAAGAACTGCATCTATTGCTTTCATACAGCTTACTTTATTAATCCATAACAGACAGATTCAGTTTGAGAGATAGATATTTTACGTTTTGCCAAAATGCAACAGACTCAAATGAAAAGTGAAACAACTCATTCCTAGCGATTCGACGCAAAATCCTATATCGAGACTAATAGCTCCCTTTGGGCTAAACAAATTAGTTTTCATCAGTGAATAACACGATTATTTTCTTATTTTCTAATAAATAAACGCTGTTGCACTTGAAAATAAATGATTTAATATTTCTGATTTACTTGTAAGTCGAGCATTTAGTGATACGCAAAAACAGTTTAGCGTCAACATTCTTCTTAGAAAATGTTATGTAATAAATGCTCCTATGAGAAGAAGCCAAAGAAAAGAAAATGAATTCGGAAAAAAAAAAAAAAAAAACATTCCCAACTGCTTCTTTGGGAACTACTGCCCGAGTTCCTATTCCTGACGTCGATAAGGGGCGAGGTGATTCGCGTAATATATTGGGAGTTGTAGAAGTATGACAGAGGATAGTTACTACCGACTTTGAAACTTCTGAAGGAATTTTAAAACAAGTATATGGGAGACCACAATTCACTTAATGCCCTAAGAACTTGCTTTTAGTATTGAAAATATTCCTGACCACGAAATTCTTCTCCGGTCAGTTGCAATTGCTCATTCCAGTGGCGGCCAAGGATTCTTCAAATATATGTGTAAAACAAAGGGCCAAAATAGAAATGTCTTTGCGTGAAAATGCAATAAAATGTAATTAAAAATGTTATTCAAGCCTACCATGTTTCAAAAAGTTGGTTAATTTTAATTTCTTATTTTTTATATGAAAATTTTGTTTTCCTTAACCCTTTGCGGCACAGTGTGTCCGGCCTGGACACACCTAAAAATTTCCTTCTGTACGCATAGAAAAATTGAATGAAAAAGGATTTATAGGTTACTATAGGTTACTCTGAACCTTCTTTTTTTATAGTAGATGGCAGCTCAACACAAATCAGTCCATATATTTTAGCCATGTTTAGTGTTTTAAGACACTCATTTTTCAAAGAAATCTTCCAGATTTTTTTAGGGTATGAAAGGAATTGTTTGAAAAGAAATTTCTATGTTATTTTTTGGCTGTATGCTAATCTCCTTATTCTATATTAGTTTTAAATTTTCACCTTGAAATCTTGCCTAAAATCAAACGGCGAACCCTAGTTGTGCCCAGACCGGGCTCACCGATAATCTAGGACACCTGAGAGTCTGTATTCTTTGTTTCTCCGCGTCTCATCGGTCAGTTCATTGACAACAATGCTCGTTTCAGCACTCTTTTCGAAGCTGTATTCAATCAGTGTGCCACTTTGGGCACACCCACATAATTAAAACGATAAGTGCTATCTTCACAAAAGTTTACTTGTGTACTCCTATAGGCCGAATTAGACTGCCTACCTTTTTTTTTTTTTTTTTTTTTTAAATCAAAATTCCGGCTCGAAAAGGTAGCGTACCGGAAAGGGTTAATAAGAAAAGCATAAAATTTTGTTTTCTGCAACTTTCAGTTTTCTTTACTTATTTTGAATAAAGTTTTATTGGCATTCTCATTATTTTTTCGGAATAATATTTATACTTTGAGCAATGCACGTCATTTATATAATAGCCTTATCAGGACCTTTTTTCATACTTTGCCTAAATAGCATTTGTCATTCTATAGAATGCCTAGGGAAAGTATGTAATAGTTCTCATATTTTACATACTTTGCCTAAAAACGCCAGCCATTGTACAAAATGCAGTATATAGAATGCTAGTGTTTCAAACATTGCCGGTAACGTATGTAATAAGATTTCAAATCACGAAATAAAATTTTAAAAATATAATTTCTTCTGTTATTTGCACATTTTAGCGTATATAGTAAACTAATTGAGAAACTATACAAATACACTGTCATTTCAGTTTGCAGAACTACGTTTTCTAGAGATTTATTTATATATACCTTTCATCCGTAATGTCAGACATGTAACTGTATGTTGAAGATACGACTATGACAAGACCTCCTGAAAAACCAGATACTGCAGAGCTTACTATAAACCAATAGGGAGAAGCATTTGAGAAAGATGTAATGATGGTCTGTAAAGTGCTATCGATTAGTATTCCAGTTGTTGCCATTAAAAGAGGATACTTCCTGCTGTAACGGTCACTCCAGGGTCCTTAAAGAAAATAAATTATTGTTTAGCAACTCTGAATTCAATATTAGAGCAGAAAATAACATGTCTCACTATTACAGAAATGTCTAGAGCATTCCGAAAGGAAATAATACCAAAATTAGTAATGAACATCAAGATAGAAATATCTGAAGATTAGTGTCTAATGTTTTCACAGATATCTGCACTGAAATATGCATACAGCGGTTATAAATTATAGAGGATATTTAATAGGTTAATAAAATAAGAACATAGTGGTAGAGTGCTGAGGTCTGTTTCAAATGGTAGAAAAACTGCTGATTTTGAACGCACGCGGTTGGCCCGGTAGTGGAGATATAGAATAGCTCAATTTTAAAAGGGCTAACACGCAGAAAAGCGGTTTGTGCGTTGTGAAATTTTAAGAAAACAAATATTTTATATATAAAGCTCAAAATCCCAGCCATGAGAAATTCAGTTGTCGCAAATGCTGTATAACTTCACAATACACATTGTCATGAAATTGCTTTGTTTTATGTGGTTATGACAAAACCTTGAAGGCTAAGGCCTAAAGGGAAGGATGCCTTCATGGAGAAAATTCTAAGGGAAATTTGCTCGTATACACGTTACACATGGAGAAAATGCCCGTGTAGCTAGCCCGTTCGAGAGATTTGAACCTCGAACCGAACTATCGGTGTTCAGCGATTTTACCGCTCGGACACTGTTGGGCCCTCCTCATAAAAGTGTCCAAGACAATTCTTATTTTAAGAAAGATAACACTCTGTGATGAAAATAACTGCAATATTTCAGATCACGTTTGCTTTCATAATTGTCGAATTTCAGGTACCGAAAATCCTCATGATAGTTGAAAGAAAGGTTGCGAACTGCTCGAAGTAAACGCACGTTAACAAAGTAGTCGGACCATTCGCTTTTGCCGAATCAGTGATAAATAGCGTTTTATAGTTTGCATGATAGAAAATTACGATGGACCATAAACTATACATCGACAACCCATCCTTTAGCCAACCCCAACAATACAGCGTACTTCTAAACTATTTTACGTACGCAGAGATTTTATGTATTGTTCACACCGTAAAGGTAGACCGTAGAATTGACAGACACATCTTGAGTGTTGATCTTCAACTCGTTGGCTTTTGTGATGTTTCAATTGTTGCATATGGAGCAGTTGTTTATCTTCGAAGTTATAATGGAAATTCTTCTCCAACACCTAAATTGCTTGCCAGCAAATCAAAAGTTTGGCCTTTAAAGACAATTTCTGTTCCGCGATTAGAGCTATCTTCTTGCTTATTACTCTCACAACTTGTCAAGAAAATCATTCTTTACCTAAAATTAGACATTCACAAAGTCTTGTTATTTTCGGACTCAACTATCTATCTCGCCTGGATAAATTCACCCCCTCATCAGCTCAAAACCTTTGTAGGAAATCGAGTGCCTAAAATTCAGTCTCTTACATCAAATTATCAGTGGAAACATATCTCGTCCAGTGAAAATCCTGCTGATCTAATATCTTGCGGTGTTGATCCCTCTGATCTCAAATCTCTTGACCTTTGGTGGTCAGTGCCACCTGTTTGGAAATCTCTCGGATGCTTCCAGTGCGAAACAAATGGACTCCACTGAAAAGGAACTATATTTGAGCTTAAAAGTTCATCTAACATCAACTTAGCTCTTTCTACTACATTTGACTTTATGAACCAATTTCTCTTTAAGTTATAATTTTCATAAAATAATACGAATTCTTAGTTTTATTTTTAGGTTCACATATAACTGCAGAAACAAGGAAAAGAAATCTGGATCTATAATTATTGAAGAATTTGAACATGCCAAAAGGTCTTTAATTAGAGCAGTACAGGTAAATGTATTCCATAGAGAAATTAATGCTTTAAAGGGAAAAGAAAAGGTTAAGGGACGTAATGTGAGTAATTTAAATATATTTCTTGACGATTATGATCTCCTTTGTGTTGGCGGTCGGTTTTAATACCCGGCTATTTTTTAATTGGTCGACCTATTAATGTCATTCCTGAACCTCAACTAATTAATGTCTCAACTAATAGACTTTCTAGATGGCAACAAGTTTAAAAACTTAATCAAGTTATTTGGCAAAAATGGTTAAGAGATTATTTAAATAATCTCAAACAACTAGGAAAATGGCAGCTTGAAAAAAGTAATATCCAAAAAGATAGCCTTGTATTGTTAAAGAAAGATAACCTTCTAATTTGTTCTTGATTAATTGGTCGAATTCATGATGTAATAATAACTGGGAAAAATGGAAAAATACGTGTTGTTCTAGTAGAAACACCTGGCGGGATTTTTAACCGTAGTATTTCTAATATATGCTTATTGCTTGGAAATAATACCTAATCCTTGTATTCTCTTACATAATTTTATTGTTTTAATGAATATTGTATATTGTAATCAAACGTATTTTGCTATTAGTGTGTTAGTTTACATTTTGAAATGTCTTATTATAGCATTTCTTAAAATTTTCATTGTAATTTGCTAAACTAATGTTGTTGAAATCCTAAGGATTTCAAAGTGGGGCGGGTGTTAACGCCAATCTGTAAAATAGCTAATCGTTTGCGTCATTAAAGTGATTATATTTGTATTGCTTAATATGGCAACACTATGTTGCTTCCATAATGTAGTTTATAAAACCTTTGTCGTTCCTTTGTTTCGCTGCTTCATCGGAAGCAAAATTTGAAAGGCTAAATAAAATTGTTAAATGGTGTTTGTATTTTAAATTTATATTACAGTCCACTTGAAAGTAACTCAACAAGGCCCAACTCATTATTAACTAGCTATCCGTAATTCAGTTTCATTTCAGTACATATAAGATCATGTTCTGACGTTGAAGAAAGCAGGAGATTGTGGGTGACGTCATTTATGTCGACGTTTTTCGTTAATGTCAACATTTTAAATAAACAGCTGCTGTTGGCAACTTTTTTGTTTCAGATTAAGATAACGGATGACTAATGTTGTTAAATTGAATGACGTGTCTAGGAAATCTGGGGGTCTTTTCCTTTGGATTACATAAGAAAGAAAGGATGTTATAGGGGTGAGCGTTGGTTAAGTAATAGATAGTGGGGGCCGAGACCTGATATGGGATGGAGTGGGAGAGAGATTACTCTCACTTTGCCATGCGGGGGGGGTTGTATCTGGCTAAGGCACATGGCATGCCTTAGGTAAAGATATAGTGTCTGATAGATGGGACGAGATTAAAGCTGGTAACTAGATATATTAGAAATTATCATGTGTTCGTATAGGCTTCGCGCATTATTATGTTTAGAGCCCATAGTACTCGGGGTGGTGGTCATGCAGAAGTGAACCGGAGAGAGAGAACATAATGCTGGCATTAGATAGAGAGACATGACTGACTCCGTTAAAAAAAGCGAACAACTAGGTTACAAGGAAAAAGGTTGTGTGTGAGTAATATGATGATATTCGAATAGGAGATGAAAAGTTCACATAAATTTAATAGATCGCTCAGGAGGTGCATTCCATGATAAACAAGTAGAAAACTGTGAGATATGTAGGACAGTATTTCGAGAAGGCTTGGTGATGGAAGGGGACAAGGAATAGTGTAGGTCACAAAGAGTCCGAGTACGTGTAATGAAGAAATCGCCGAAATGGAAAAAAGAGGTTCTAGAGGTAGAAGTATGAGATCTCGCATCATCTAAGACCACAATTCTGAAAATGAAAATGATATGTAAGTAAAATTGATCCTAAAATTAGCAAATACGGGTGAAAATATTGCAAAGAAGGATTGGCGCATAAAGTCCTAAGTTTATCTGTGTAAATATACCGAATGAGAAATAATTTTAAGCGTGGTCAGAATTGCGAAGAACATTAGACGGAAATAAGCAGGCTCAATGTAACAGAAGTTGGCAGGAAAGCGTCTACATGTGACATGGCGTGGCAAGTTGGTGACTAAGATGACGGCCAAAACATCAATTAGAAACTGTTGATGATACTGATTAAAAAATATCTCTAGTTTCAAAAAACAGCTCTTCAAGATAAGGTAGTGTAAACAAAAAGAATATGTAGGTTAGAGCCGCATATAAAGTCCGAGGGATACTGGATGTGTACTTACGTTTAATCATTTGAATCGTCTAAGGCATCATTGTTAGATAATGTTATCTAGAAAAGCGTGTTAGTGGAGCTCTGAATTTTTAACAAGTATTAGTGAACTAAAATTGTAGTGCGTGGATATTCTGTTATTAACTAGTCAAAGTCGTACTTCATAAAAACATAGATTTCTAACATCTCAAACACATTGTTAAGGCGGCTAAAGAAACACAAGAATTATAAGATCTGGACATGAAGTAAGTGTCCTAAAACTATGATTGAATTGAATTTGCGTTTATTCAAAAAATCGAAGATATTTCAGTTATTGGGTAGTGAAGCATTACGCGTATGGAGTTAGAGTAAAAAACAAGTGAAATATCGCGTGTAGAAATAAAATTTCCGAAATCACCAGAGGGGGCTTCGGGAGGGGTTAAAAATAAGGGGGGACCGTGAGTGAACTGATGGTTTCGTATATTTGTGTATACCTGCAAGAAAAGGTAAATAGATCATCCCCTGCAATAAATGTGATTCATTTTTGAAATTAAATCCAAATCAAAATATGAAATAGTTAAAACCCATAAATTGTGTCTAAACTGTATCAGTAACGAGCTTTAATCGCAAAATGCAATTCTAAGTTCAGATGTTCGGAATGCCTAAAAAAACCATCATTCATTAATACATCGCCTGCTCAGAAATGGCGCCACAACATAAGTAGAAACAAAAAACGGAAGCAACGATGACGAATTATAACCAAGAACGGCAGAATAATAGTCTCGTAACGTAACAATCAGTCAAGTTGTCGTGTTAGTGACGACTCAAGGAGAAAAAACGGGTGGTGTGTCGGTTTGACGAACTGCAATAATATATAGTGTGTGCAAGATTCCGAGGGGACAAGAATCCGTTCGCAAGCAGTACAGTATGATAGCAAGGCAGCTGAAGTAGT